AATCGTTAATCATGATGAAAATGATTAGCCCAATAGTGAGAAGTGAAAAATAATGAAATCTTTCTCAATTTACTTTAACTTGGACCAAAAATGATTATCACAATTTAATATTATACAAAACAAAACGAAACAAATTGTTGACATTTGTACACAAAATACATTGAAACAATTATCATTATCATATTTATTATTGTAATTGGTAATCATCTGAAGATGATTTTCCAATCGTTTCATTTTCTTCTCTCTTCTCTTTCAATCCAAAATCAATTGCAATTACAATCGAAATTAGGAATTTTATTTTTAATTATTTTTCATTTCATTCATCAAATCAACCAAGACTGTGAAATGCATCACCTTTTTTGTATCAATTATTTTATCCTTTGATGATAAGTTAATTTTGAGACACTTTTTTTCATCACTTTTTTGCATTCAAATTGTCACAGCCAATCAGCTAAGTTTCAAATAATGTTCACAACTTTTTTGGGTTCAATGTGCCAGATTAATCTTTCAGCTTGTCAAATGTTCATGATTGTAATTACACTGGATATTGGTTTGACAAATGAAACTTTTCACTTTTTCTTTTTTCCATTGGTTTTCTTTTCTTCCCTAGAAATGATAAAACAAAACTAAATGTTGAAATACAATTGTTCACCTGAAAATGCCTCAAAAATGTAATAATTAATTGAAAAAAAAGAAGAAAAAGATAAAATTCTAATTGCCTAATCTACGAGTTTTCATTTTAATCTTTATTCACAAAAGTTCGCTGATCAGTTCAAAAGAATCGGCATTTCAGCAAGTTTTTCACTTCTGCAGATTTCAATGCAAAACAAGATCAATTCAAGAACTCAGCTATCAAAGAATCAGCTTCGATTGAATCAGACGAAATTCAGATCTGACTGTTCAAAGACTTCATTATGATGAATGATACAGATGCAAATAATGTTAAATGAACCAACGAATTTCATCATCATTCGAAGAGTGATTTTTGATTACTTCAAGAAATTTCATTATTATATTAGTCGATAGAAAAAATGAGCATTTTCGTTTTCAATTTTGTTTTCGATCATCAGATAACATGGAATGCTCTAAAAGTTTGCGATACATTTTGATACACATTTTTCACAATTTTTTTTTTCTTTCCAATGGTTCATGGTGCCATCATCAATGGTTATGCTCGATTTCATGTTCAATTTGTTAGTTTAATTATTGAAAATCAATGGCAATAATCATGAAATTCAGAATCAAGTTAAAAGGAATTTCTGTCAACATCATTTGAAGGTTCACTTTTTTTGAGTTCATTTAGATGTTTCTGCAGTTCCGTACAAGCTCTGAATAAGCATTTAATCGCGATGCTAATTTTGTTTGTATTTTTAAAATGACTCAGAGTGAATCAAAATGAAATTCTTTGAAAATTCTTCTGAACAGAAAACCTGATAAATTGTCATTTCTAAAAATAGCATGTTCTTAATAGTCTATTTGCTAACCCATAGATGGCGCTGTGTTACCTTGATAGGGATATGTAGATAGATATCGGGTTGGATTGGATTGGATCCAAAGTAACATTAAAAAAGTCAAGGAAAATCCAGAGTTAAAATCATTCTCTTGATTTCATTGGCGCAGGTAAAATTGAGATCTAATGAGAAATCTCTCTTGTCCATTTTTATTCTCCCTCGTTAATCAACTTTAACTCCATCATTTATCATCATTTAATCGTCTTCTCAATTAATCTAGTCTATTCAATTAAACCATCAACCTTTTTTTGCCAGTGTTTTTAATTGATCAACTGTCCAAGTGCAAGTTAACTGGTAAATGTTAAAACTGGTCAACTCAATTCTTCCATCAATCATAGATTCGTTTTCTCTCTAATTTGGTTAATTTTTTCTTCTTCCTCTTAAATCTTTTTTTAAACCTAATCAACGCTTTAAAGTACTCATCCATGTCATTGAAATTAATTGTATGACCCTTCATCAACTGTCAAACAATCGTCTTGAAAACTGTCTCACATTTTACCCAACTCACAGTAACCCAAAACCCAATGAACCCAACAATGAAATAATTTCTCCCATTGATCAACTTTACACATTTTAATATCATCACCAACTTGCCATTTAAACAGCTACAAAAAAAGGATTAACTATTCAACTGATTGTGTTTCCTCACTGACGTCAAAGTTTTCACCTCTCTTTTGGTTTCCTTTTCATTCTGTTTTTTGTGGTTTTTTTTCACCAACATTTCCACTCTTTATTTTCACTTTTGTGCTTGACTTGATAAACAATGGAACTGACATCAAAGGCAACAACAACAACAACAACAACCACGTCAAGTTTTACAATCAAAAATTCTGCAAATAAAAATATTGCCACACCAACAACCACAACATCAACCCCAACCACACCAACCATGAATGAATCAACCTGTGAAAATGATTTACGTAAAAAGCCTCAACTGTTTCACTCGGTCAGCATAATTGTTGAACCAGTTCTAGATGATGATTCAAGTAGCATACCGTTAGTTTTAACTCCCAGTGAGGTTACAACAGGGAACGAGAATACAATAATGCCTTCTGTATCACCAACAAGTCCAGTTCTTGATTACGATGATTTCATATTCGGTAAGCTTCATCTTATTCCAATTCAACTTGACCCTTACCTTGACTTTCAAATTTTACAAATTTCTTTATAAAGATTAGTCGAAAGATAATTTTAAAATTCAATGTTGAAATTCATCAATTTTGACAAAATGATTTCTTTACATTTCAAATTGAAAGTTGAATTTTTTTAGATGGATTATTCATTTAGAATATTCAATGAACTGATAATTTTCCTGCTGAAAAGCAAGATAAAAGGACGGTCAAATTTTCGAATTTTCTTGAGAAAAGAATAAATTTTCAATTTTTCATTCTTGACTTTTTTTGAGAAATTGAAAAATTTCAATGAACTTGAACCTGAAATATGTTTTCAATCTCATTTGTTTTACATTTCAATGTAAATAAAACCCAAAAATTGGTGCATTTACCTGAAAATTAACCCAAAATTTTCTTTCCTCTTTCACCTTTTTCATGGCCAATGACCCTGAAATGGACTTGATCATGAAATTTATAAATAATGATAATGCTGTTGAACAGAATCCGAGAGTCAACGAAAGAAAAGCCAAGAAGAAGATGAAATTGTTCAAGCTTTGATGGTAAGTCTATTTGATACCAATTTACCTAAAATGTCTTGAGACCTTTAATTTAAATTAATTATCATTACAATTGAGTCAATTTTTCCGCTCTAATCTCTCGTGTCAATTTGTGATTGATGCAAGAAAATGTGTATAATGATAGTTTTACGATAATTAATGAACTATTCTTGATTACAAATCATTTGCTCGAACATGATGGAAAGCATGATTGATTGATTTGATTCTCAGTTTACTTTTTTTCTGGCCAAACTCATTTCAACCCAGAAGTCTATCATATTCTTAGCTCAAGATAAAAGCAAGAAAAGATTAGAAAAAAATATTCAAATTTCTATTCTTTTCTCAATCCATTGAATATTCATTAAACCTTTTCTCTCCCAATGATTAAACTAATAGAGTTTTGGGTGAAAAAAACAAAACCAAAAACCATTTGTTATAAGCTTTGAAACGATAAAAAATTGACTAAACAAGGATAAACTAGAGATTGAACCAAATAGTAAAGTTCTGAACAGAATTTCAAGACTCAGAAAATCTTGATTAAATTATCAGTCGAGGTGAAAATCACACTCAATATTTATCATTAAAAAATTTTGATCGAACTTTTTTTGTGAACAATTTGATTCTATTAAAAGGTTCGATTTGAAAGGAAATGAAGAAATTTTCTATCATGAATTTCAATGAAATTCGGTGAAAATTGAGATAGTGAGAGTTCCTTTGAACCTAATATTTTCTGTCGTCATTGGAAGGTTCCTTCTGATTCAATTGGAATCACTTATCGAATGACGAAATATTTCAATCTCTGTTCATCATTTAAACAATTTAATGATAATTGTAAACTGATAACTTATTGATAAAATTTATCTTTAATTGCAAACCAAAGTCTTTCATCATTTGAAAAATCTTATCTTAAAGTAAAACATTTCATAACTGATCGAGTTTCATGTTCACCTACACATTCACCTTTCACCTTAACTTTGTTACTAACATCTAATCATTAATCAAGCCTTCAATAAATGAATGCATTTGCAATTTTGTAGAAAAATTTATTTATTTTTTCCGTATAAATCATGATTAGTAAATAGACAATTTGCATCATTTTACAACTCTTTTCACCCAATGATAAGTTGATGAAAGGCGTTTTTGTGACTTCATCAAGTTAATCAATACATCAAGTAGATTAAGTGAAATCCCTGAGGGAATGAAATGAACCATATCTTTACCCATTGAATGATCAATATTGATCCCAAACAATCCCAATCAGGTGCATCATGATAATTTGCTGGTAAAATCTAATCTTACCTTGATAATCAAGTGTAATCACAACACCCTTTAAGCTTGAATTCAACTTTTCATTTTCCGTCGTTTTTTCTTCTCGTTGATTTGCCTGTTTGACGTAATTACCTTTTTTATCTCATTACGCACTTGTGCATTTAGTAAAAGGTCAACAACAAAAATCTGTTGATTGTTGATTCAATTTACGTAATGATACTTTCAAGTCTGGTTAAACGAGAAAATGATTCAACTTTTATTTCAATTTCAATTTGCAATGTTTTGCTCAAACTTTTATTTACATTTTTTTGCTTCTTTTGCCATCATTTTTTATTCCAACTCTACTCAACACAAATAACCAAAGTAACGACTTTAAACAACAAACTTTTTTTTCCTGTTTTATTTACTAACCAAGACAATCAAAGCCTTGTAAAGTACTGCTTGTAATGGTTACAGGTTTACATTCACAACAAAATATTACATTTGGTTTTACTTGGTTTTTTTTCATTCTTGTTTGGAAACTTTGCTTCCATTTATTTGTATTATCAAAATTTACATTGTAAGCTTTTTGTTGCTTCACAATGAAACAGGTAAAGTTGTCGCTGTTTTAAAGCCGTTTTCATCTTGTTATTTAAATTTCAAAATTTCTCTTTGATAACCTGAGTACACTAAGCTTAAATCGACAAATTATCGAAATTTTGTGTTGCAATAATTTCTGTTCATTTTTGGATTGGAAAAAAACTTGGATTTGTTCATGAAAAGATTTGAATTATTTGCACAAATAGCGATCGAGTTATTAATGGCAGTGAATGTTGGAAAAGCTATTTTCAAGAAAAGAAAACTTGAGCTACATAACTTTGATCAGATACATTAGTAGCTGTACAGTTGTACTTTCAGTCTAGAGTCGAACTATTTAAAGATTATTGGAGGATGAATAAGATTTGAAATTAATCACTTTCAAGTCCGAGTGAACATTGAATTTGTAGGCTTCTTATAACATTGGTCTTTTTGTTTGACATTAGCTTATTGATGTCTTACAGAGAGTTTAAGCTCATGAGAGGAAGCATGCTTGACTTGGAAGTTTCTATCATTTCTCGAATTCGTTCATAAGAAACTGGTGACTTGTTGAATACTTGTTAAGTTGTCGTGAATTCGGACTGGAATCAGAAGGAACACCTCTGGAAATAATTAATATTCCAAAAATTCTCTTCTAACGATTCTTATCATGTTATTCGAGTAACGAAGAGCTTGCATCTTAGCTATTGAAGGGCTCAAGTCTTTTAGGATGAGCTTGAATGGAAAAGATGAATTCTAGAGTTTAGATTACTAGAGATCGAGTTCAGTTCTGTTGTAGTTTTATTTGTCAGTAAACATTTGATTTTTGGAATTTTTGATTATCGTTTGATAATTTTTCCAATCAATTTATACAAGATTGTTATACAATTTTTACCATGAAATTGTAATTTGATTCACAGGTTAACGAAGCTTCTGATTGAGAACAAAATTATTGAAAGAAATGAATCATTTGAGATGAATAAAGTTGATCATTTGATGATAAAGTTTCAATGTAATAACTTAGCTGAACAATTGAATGAAATTGGAAAATTGATTTGAAAAGTGAACGGATAATGTTTCAGCTTAAACAGATTAATCACTCTGAATTATCCTGTTATTTACAATAGAATTTACTGATTGTTCATTTGCCTTTTCCTTCCTTTCAAAGCTGTTATTGGTAAAGTTTGTTATTCTTTCTGAAATTAATCTGCATCTCAATTTCAATCATGAAATAGTTAACCTCATTTGGTATCTTTGGCAACGGGAAGTGCGTAAATTGAGATGCACATTATCATCATTGATGAACATGGAAAAGAAAGAGAGAGAGAGAGAAAAAAAACATTCATTGTATTCAATATTTTACTGAATTCTATTGTAGTACAATAACTAGTCAACCATGTTGCGAGATTATTGTTGAGATTAATGTTGAAAAGTTTCAATTCTGTTTCAGTGAAAAGATGAAACAGGAAATTGAAGTCTTTAAAAACTCACCTTTGGGTGACGCTTGAATAAAATGAATGCATTTCTCTATTTACTTTGAATTGAAATGCTAAATGTTATCCACTGATTAGACTGAACAACTTGAACAATCTCATGTAAAACTCAGCTTGAGACTGAAATTTGAATAAAAGCTCGAAGCCATTTAAACTCGTTTTTGTATCAATATCATTTGGCTAGCTTTGATCATTCAAATTAGGAATCAACTTGAAATAAACTTGAATTGCAAACAAAGTAAACCTTTTAATTTGTCAACTTGTTTCACTTTAAAAGTCCTGTTTTCATCAACCTTTTCATTTTCATCTTTTAATCGAAAGTTTTGTGCTTCAATTGCAAACAAATTTTCCCATTTTTTGCCACTTCTAATTAGTTATGATACAAAAGTTGAAAAGATTGAAGCGAAAAATTCATTTCTGTTGAGCTAAACAAATTGATATAATTAATGATAAACTGATGAGTTTCTATGAATTTACTTTAGCTCCAGGTTTACCCTTTGAGAGACTTTTATATTGAAACTTGAGACTCTTTGAACCCAATTTATATGAACAAAAAACTTATGCTTTTTTATTGCTTTTAAACGCTACTTTCATTTCTTGAAGCAAAATCATCTTCATCACTTAATTGCATTGAACCATTTTAATTGTTGAATTGAACTTTTTTTTATTAAACTCTTCCACTTGACAAAATGTTGAAATCTTTTCAATTCAATAAAGGTTCACTTTTCATTCTGACCAATCTAAACAAAAGCTCATCAATCGAAGCAACTTTAATTGTTTATTTTTCTCTATTTTTTCTTATTCTGCAAGTTTTGATAAATAATTAAAAGCAATTGCATCCATTAGCCATTAATTTGATTTCCAAGTAATTTGCATTATTCTCTTTCCATGAAAATTCAAGTTAATGCAGAGTTGCACTTTTCAATCAATTTGTTTCTTCCACATTTGATCTGAAACTTTTTTTTCTCTATCAACAAAAGCAGTAAAATTGCAGCGAAAATGAAAACAATTTCAAAACTCATGATAACATGGAAAAAGCAAACCTTTCTATTCATTAAATGATGACAATCGAGTTTGCAAATTAATTGAATGTTTTTCGTGTTAATTATTTTCTCATTATCACTTGAAGTTATAACTCATCTTTTGTCTTGCATTTGTAAGTTATGGCAAAAGACGCAAAAAAGCTGGGAAGGAACAAGTTGAAAGTCGTCTTTTTTTGCCTCAAAATGATGAAAATTGAAAGAAGAAAAAATCGAAACAAAATAATCGGAAAACGGAAGCAAAGTTGTTTTTCTCTTTTCGTAAATTCAACTTTACCTGCAACCTTTTTTTTCTCTCCATTCCATTTCTGTCCGTTTTATGATGGAGTGAAAACTGGGAGTTGAATAAGTGGGAGTAATTTCCGTTTTAATTGATATTTTTGGGTTTAAAGGAAGTTGAAGCAATTTTTGTTTATCTAAGCAAAACTGTGTGCTCATGAAAGTACATGATATTAGGCATGAGTTGAATGATAATGGTTAATGGAAAAAAGATTTGACAAAAGATTAACTCGACTTGATAATATCATGATTGTTAATTTTTGCACATTTTCTTTATTCTTGGCTTCCCTTTGATTCATTTTTCTTCTTCTTTACACCAAATGATTGTTCTATTGAATAATTAATGTGACAAAAATACAAATGATGA